CAGTAGACTGGGGCAATCTTTGTGATAACCAGTGGAAACTTGCAAGTCTTACTATGATATATCTGTCTTTATCAGACAATAGATTAATAATGTCCCTAAATGCTGAAACTTTTCTGAACATCATTTTAGCTGCAGGTTTCACCTTCTACTTGCTCCATCTCCTCATGTGACCATGTTGCTCTGGAAAACATGTGGCAATTTCAGTCAGGCTGGTTTGCCCACCAATTTGACCATCTGTGTTCTGAATTCAGATCACTATTGGGAAATAATTTTGCTTTACATTTATTAAAGTAGATGTTTTTCATGAAAAAAAAAAAAAATGCTCCCATTTTCTTCATGAGAAAATTTGATCCAAACAAAGAATCTCTTGAGTTTCAGTTGTAAAGGCTGTCCAGCTCAATCATTACATTTATAGGAAACTAAATATGTAAGAAATAATAGATGAGAAAAGGCTGCTGAACAGTAATAATTTCTCAATACAAGAGTATCTGATTTTCATGCACAAGAGATCACAAAAAGCTAAGCCAAGCACTCCCTTTAAAAATCTTTTTTAATAAAAATATCATATTAAGCACTAGAATCAAGATTTCTGAATGTTCTGTGATGAAATTTCTGGCATAATTTGCAGATGTTAATGCCCACTCTTAAGGCAAGAGCAGCAGATCGAAAGCTTCCACCTAAAGTTACAGCTTCTTGGTGAGTCTGAGCAATTGTAAGTACTTACAAATTAAAGAGACAATGAAAAACATCTTGAATTAGCCCCACTTTTAAGAAATGGGAGACCCTACCCTTTATAATGCTATGCTTTTTTTTTTCCATTTCCTTTTTCTTTTTGGCTGGAAAACGCTTAAAAATAAATTTTCAAAAAAGAGGTCTGTATGATGGAAAAATACTAAGAATATTTTGTGATAATTTGGAAAACATTTTAATTGCATGCTAGAAACTCCTGAGTCATCACTGCATCTATGTGCGTGTGTGTCATCTGTACAAGTGGCTTGTTTGATGCCACTGCTGCTAATGTTAATATCACAAAAAGTTTGATTCAGTGAAATACCCACTTCTAAAAATCTCAGCCAAATATGACATCCTTCAATGGAACAAATCCAAAGGAACCCAAAGGCACAAAAACTGCAGCAGGCTGCATGTTGGTGTAGTTTTTCTTTTGATTGTTTTTCCCCAAATGTATCCTATACCTAACAATATTTCTGTTTTATAAACTTTAAAGAAAGAGTTTTTTGTATGTTTTTTTGTTTTTGTTTGTTGTAAAGAGATCTGCAGCTTCTTCCACTTAGGAACATTATTAACTATATTGTCTATATGGGAATGGAGGGAAGGACAAAGAGCAGGTACAAAGGAATATTAAATATGTATCTTTCTTGAAAAAATTTAAACCATATTTTCTTGAAGGAATTACCTATTGAAAACACAAACAGCATTTGACAACTAGGTAAAAATAGATAAAGAATAACTTGTTTACTTTGTGTACAGTTAGATCCTCTGCCTAATTAACCCATGAACTAGCAAAGGTTTTAAGCATATACCTGATTTTACATATAAGCTAACCTTTGGTGTTCTAAATTCTGAGCTTCTAAAATAAAAAAAAAAACAACAAAACATTCATTGCCCCACTTCATCTGATTTTGCTTTCTCAAAATAAAAAGTAGAAGGAAATACACGTTCTTAAATTCAACAATTTTACTTTCAATCTTCAAGAGCTGGTAAAGCATAGCCTGGTATCTAAAACCACTTTTAACACTGTCATGTAACTGTTTTCCAATGACAGAAGCCTGGGTATATATGTGTGTGTTCATACATACGATACAGCAAAACCTGAGAAAATGGCCAGGACCACACTGAATACAGACCCTTATTAATCTCATGTTTTCAACTGCCGTAGTTTAATGGTGTGCATATTAATTACATGTGCATATTTAGTTTGAACTTGCATAAATTTTCTACTTTTACCAGAATATACAAAATGCCAGATTTATTTTTTTAAGAGCTTTCACTGTTTAAAGCCGTAAGGTTTTTTCAGAAGAGGTAAGGCATTCGTAAGGCAGACTGTACTATAAACTAACACTGACATCCAGAAATACAGGATTTGTTATCAGCAAAAATACTGAGATCTGAACAATATCAGCTTAACTAGGGAAGTGTCAGTACCATACTAAGTATTTCTTTGTATACAACTAACTCTCAGCTAAGGCATTCTGCAATCCTGTGAAAGATGATGCAGGTAATAGCTTGCTAACTTGTTTTACAGCTACTGAAGATACAGCAGCATTTGACAGGCAGCTGTATCTTTACTCATGCAGTAACATTCTGTGTAGTTACTAATAATTTATAAATCTGAACAACGTTTATTTGAATCAAACATTGGCCTGTCAAATAACAATAGAAAAATGACAAGATTTTTGTTTCCGAATTGATATTATAAACTGCAGAAGAAATTATGCAACAAAGTGTTACATTAAAAAGTTATACAAATAGTAAAGAACTGCGTATATGCTCGGTAAAATTAGACTTACATATTTTTATGATAGAGCACCATTTGATGCTCTTATTTCTGCAGGATGTCTGTATTTTGGACACCCAAAATGATAACTGAAGTATCCTTATAGGTGCAGTGTGCTGAGCAGCAGTTCTCTGAAAATAAACAGCATCTCATACTAGCGCCCCTCAAGAATTATGCCCTTTTGTCCTGGCTATACTTTTATGGTTTTCCCTATATATATGTGATATCCACATATGCAGTATTTTTAAAAGTTCCAGGAAAGGCTTGAAAATCAGAGGTACAGTTATCTTATTATTCCTCTCACCCCATATATTTATATGTAAGTACCCCACAAATCATATTTAGGTTTCATTCATTCTGAGCATCTGAGAGGAACGAATTCAGTCCTCAGCTCCATGTTTCGAGCAAGGAACTGATATGTAAACCTATATGTTCATTTTGTAACTAACATTTTCTCAGAAAATGCCGATCCACAAAAGTATTTCAATTAAATTTGGATTCAGAAAGTTTCACCAGATTCTAGAAGAGATTTACAATGGAAGCGGTTTGGGAATAAACATTGTTTTCCTTTCTTTTTCACTGTCATTGAATTTGTGTTATTGTATTAATAAATCAAAACATTCCCTAAGGATTATAATTTGAAGGACACATCAATTTAATAGTAAAAAGCCATGACATTGCAGTAATAAAATTCTAGCAAAATTCCACACAGCAGTTCAGAATCACTTTAAAAGCCTCGATCTGTACTTACTCTGCAGTGGAGATGCATATATCCCTGCATAGCTCAACAATTCAATCTTTTTCTTTCTCTGTAGAAGTGTTTTATTTTCCCAAACAGACAGCAAACACCATAGCAGACTACACTTCCCCTATTAATTAACTTCAGCTTGTAACCTAGTAAAACCTTTCTCAAGATGCAATACTATTCAATTCTTAGCTGATTTGCTGCAATGGAGAGAAAAGGAGGAGGATAAATCAACTATTTTATATTTGCTAGATTTATCCTTTCAGACCACTGGCTTCAAGATATTGATGAAACATTTACCACAGCAGAATGAGCTGTTCTCTGCTTTCTGCTCAAATGCAGAAGTATTATTAAAGTCTTTCTTCCTGGATGAAAGCCTTAGTTTGTCAGTAGCGCTCTGTGTACAGCTTGGTGTGAAATGAGGCAACGTGGGCTCTGACCTCTCTGTAGGAGGTTGTAGTGCCTGTGGCACAGCAGTGGCATGCAGCCTTTGCTTCACTCGGTGAAGCTGCTACCCTGAAATTGTTGATGCTGTTGGAGTAAAAGTCAGGAGAACAAACTTCCACCAAGACAGAAAAAGATAAAAATTTTCTCTAAAAGCAAACCACCGAGGCTAGAACCTTATTGACTCTTCGGGTTCTTAGCAAAAGTAAAGTTTCTCCTTTGATATTTAATTCCAGCAAAGATACTAATGAATGTCTAAAATTTCTTTATTCTTGATGTTCAAATACTGAAGAAGTTGCACTCAAACTGAAAGGAAAGGTCAGGCTTCCTTTTCTTCTCCAGGGGCTCTGGAACATTACTTTCCTCTCTGGTCTGCCTTGTCTCTGTCTGCCTTCCCTCTGGCCAACTTCTTAGCAAAACTTGCAACAGGGACATATGATATGATTTTGTGAGGTGTGGGACAAGTTTATAAGGTGAGTTCTGTACATTTGAATATTCATTTGATGCTAAACAAAGTTAGATGCCTAAGAGTCTTCCTAGATAATGAAGATGTTTTAGTGAAGTAGTCCTGTCAGTGTTTTTATTCTGTTCACTATCTCTTCACTAGATGCTTCACTTATGTCTAGAGAAAAGCTGTTTGAAGATTTCAGCATTTAAAAAAAACACTTCTAGCAAATTAGTTTATTTTGTTGCACTGACACTGTCCTTTAACTTGCCTGTCTACCTCCTTCCTTAATGTTTATCTCCCATCAAATTTAGAGGTACTTTTCTTTCATCATTCATGTAAACCATAATCCTTTAGCCTTTCATCATAAGCCAGATTCTCTATTTCTTTATTCATTCCTGTACCTGTGCCAAGTAGAGTACATATTCACTGAACATGAGTGACCTACATTATACACAGTCTTCCAAATGGAACGATCATTTACCTGATAAGCTGGAGCTGTTTTGTTTGTTTTTTGTCTAATGTAAGATTTTCACAGTACTTTTTAGAGAATGTATTTTGTAAGCAGTAGAAAAACGTAGAATGGCATTAGGAAAATGTAACACAGAAACCTCAAACAGAGTCTCCATACACTGGATAAAAATTACTGCTCTAGCAGTAAGTTAACATTAACCTGCAATGAATGATGAAGAGCATCTACTGTACACAAAGTAATCCAGTTACGTGTGTCTGGGTACGTGTAAACTAATACAACATGACAAAATGGGAGAGTGCAAAGTAGCTCAGTCTCAAATGACTGCTACATAAGTTGGCATCTCTGTAGATCTGATGCATTAAGAATACACACTCACGCCCAGCCGCAGCAGCAGATGTGCTGGTAGGAGAGGAAAGAGCATTGGATAACGATACGTGACTAGGGCTAGAAATATTGGTTACATCCTGGGTCTGGCTTGTGACGGAGGACTGTCTCCTTAGAGCCCCCTGAAAGGAAGTGCCACTCTTGAAAGTATTGACTACTTCGATCTGTAATGGAGGAAAGAATGAGACAAGTTGCTTAAAGTATGGATACAGTTGCAAAACTAACAGGAATAATAATGAAAAACAATAAATCAATCGTTCACGCAGTTTAATTTCTATGGAAATAAATACTTTTTAGTGTCCTTAATGTTTTAAATATGAAATGGTCCAGTTTTTCTGCCTGAATAAAATGAAGCAGCTCAATAGGAGGCAATGAAGCTGCATGAGTTTAAACAATTAGCATATTTGAAATAAAAATATTGCAAAATTAAACCATTTTATTTATATGTAAGCAAAGTGAATGCTACTGGAATACTTGAATTAGCTAACGTTTACTTTTTCCTACTGAGAATACAATTGTTTTGCTATTGCTTTTTAGGCATTCTTCCAGAGGGAGGAAAGTTCAGTTACTTAATTTGGGGGGGAAGCCTACAGAAATATTACAAATAAGACTTAATTTTGTCTACAAAAAACCAAGGTTGTCAGCATACTAGCTTGATAAAATGGAAAGTATTCCGATATCTTACTTTTTTCTCTAATGGAAGTTTGTGTAAATTAAGCAGTGATAATGAATGATGGTCTATTCTAATTACAGAATAAAATATTAATATTTTATCTTTATACAGTGCTTAAAATTAGACACAAAATTATGTTGAACCAGACCGAATATTTCAGTAAACAGAATGACCATTTTCTACTTGTTATTTCCATATGCATATTGTAACCCACTGTTAGATGTGTCTTTGCTGAATATCTTCCTTTAGTACTTTTAATCATGAATTCAGAATATGAGTTAAAAAGGAGGTATTTCAAGATCATCTCTGGCACCAGGATTACACAATATAAAGCAGGCTCTATATATCCAGTGTTTTTAAAGTCAAGGATTGGCAGTAGATAGCAGCTACAAATTCCTAAACAACAGAATGTCCTCTTTGTTACAATCATACAACCACAACACAACAAAACAGAATCCATTAGAAGATTTCACCCATCTAGTTGTATGAAGAAGCCCAATGTTTCCAGATTTTATCTTGCAGCACAGATTTTTGTAAGAGTTACAGCCTAGAAAGTAGTTGGGAGAAGGTAAAGCGGTATATTTATCAAGTTAAATAGCACAAACCTTGGTATAAGCCCTCCTAAGTTTTCTAAGTTGAAAGCATTATAATAAATTTGCTAACATTTTCTAGTGCATTCATACATTCACAAGGCTTCATCTCTAATGATACGGATGCGTCCCCCCTGTTATCTTAGTCTTTGGAGATCACTATTTTCCTTTATGTTTTCACAGAAATAACCATGTCAAAGCCAGCTGCAAAAAGAATCAAAGGTTACTGCTACACAATCACCATGCTATACTTCTGCTAGACAGACATGAAGCAGCCTTGTTCATTGAGCCTTTGTTTTCCAGTAAGACCCCTAAATACAACGTGCATTTAATGTGCACACTGATGGATGTGCAGTTTTAAGCAGACATGACAACATTCTGCAGCTTTGCTCTCCATGTTTTCTGTAGCAGACTTCTTTTGAGCTATATGTCCAATTAAAAAAAAAATAAAAATACAGTATGTGATGAGTTGCCATTTGGAACAAGAATACAAGTGAATCAGTGGCATTTTGAAAACAGCATGTGGTTCAAACCACTGGTTATATATGAAGGCATGTTAAATACTTACCTGAAATGTTTACTGTACAAAAGCAGAATTACATAAAGATCCTGGGTTTTCATTATCTGACATACATAACAGAGCACTCTTCAAAAGAGAACATTCAAGAAAGATTTTAAAAGCACTCACTGAGAGCATGAACTGCGCTGTGGAAGATTAAGGTGGTAGATCCAAAGCCAAAGGGCATTTTTGCATCTATAAATGCCTTTCCAATTAACTGAAAGACTCTAACATGAGAAAGAATGAAAAGATAAGGGAAGATCTGTATTTAATAGTTTCTCCAGAGAACAATACAGGTGTGTAATTTACTTTGTCTCCTGAAAAAAAAGTTACTACAGAAAACTACTGCAAAAGTTACAATCTTCATGGAGTGAATCCAGAGGAAAAAGATGACAACCATTTTAGAATCTTAAAGGTGGAACATACAGGAATGCATTCTCTCTGAAGTGAATGAAGAAGAAGAAAAGATCCTGGCCTCCTAAGGAGTTTATCTTCCAAAATCAGAAAACAGCAAAGAAAGAGTTCACCCAAATAAATAAATAAGTAAATAGTGAGTTTTCAAATGAGATGCTTTTGTAATTACAGAAGACTGTATTTATTTAGAAAATTCATATTGCTAAAAATGAGAAAGCAAAGGCTAAGTCCTACATCGTAACATGTTTGAAAAACTTCTAACAGAACAGAGAATGTCATCATGTTTTGATTATAGGCCTTCTGGCAAAGAAAAAAAAAAATAGCATACTGTATTTTTTGCCTCTCTCATCTTTCTTTAAATTCTATGCTATTTTTGAAGCACAAACAGTTAAGAAACGCATTAGTGATTAGCAGTTTAAAAAAGAATAAAAATGGATCTCAGCACAGCAGAATGGTCCTGGCAGGAGATCCTTAAAATGGAAGAGAATTTCAGCAAGCTGTTCTGTTGTTATTAATGCCCTCAGGAGATCAGTAACTGCATCCAAAATTTATTTTATTTGTTTAAGAACAAGAAGAAATTGGCTTTGCTCAATCTCTGATAAACAGTTTGCTTTAGTATTAGTAAAGCAAACTAAACTTCAATCTGTGTGAAATAAAACAGTTTCCATTCTAATTACTGTGGTCTCCAGCAACCTTTTTGTATTAAATGCTATAAGAAATGAAAAAAAAATAACAATAAAAACAGAGGTACTAGCTTTTTATTTAACTTTCAAAGCATTTGCTAGGAGTGACTGTCATTGCTGTGGTGTTTGCATTTGTTCAGGAAGGTTTTAGTGCAGAAATGAACAAAAATCTCTATACTAAATATCCAAAGAAAAATCTTTTTTTTTTCCACAACAGTCTCTAGACACATTATTTTCTGAAAAAAATTTAAGGTATTTCTGTAGCAGGCACGTTTATCTATATAACTATTTTGTCCTGTTTTTGCTCACAAAACAATATTTAGTAAGTTTTAGTCTCTTTTTTTTTTTGGCCACATTAAGTAGATAACACAAACTCCGAACTATAGAGTTAAAGAAGCAAAGGGAGGACAGAGCCCTTGTGTTATGAAAATCAGATATATAACCTGAAAAGTTTTCAAACCTCCATACTTAAATGATTTTCCCTACTCAAATGTGAGATAACTATAGAAACTTTTCAGTACACAACTTAAAAAGATGCAGTGAACTTGGGGAACTTCAGAATGAAGAATTCTTGAGAACTGCAAGAAAGAACTGGAAAGCACTGCTGAAAACCAGCAGAGAAAAGACCTGTCTTCAATGAAATTTGAAACTATTTTTGTACCTTCGTGAAGCTTCCATAACTAGAATGAGTCATGTCTGAAACTTCACAGTCTTCTGAAAGTGCTGTCCAGTAATGAAACACTGCCAATCAGAAGACAGTGTGTGTCCTGACATAAACTATAAGACAGTAAAGTATGCAAACGAACAGAAGTAGACAAAATCAGAAATATACAGTCAGTGTCTGTGACTTTGGCATGTGCATTTCTCATGCACTTTTCTTTAACGGAAATTCATGCATGTGCAGCGTGAAATAGAGATGTGTCCGGCATCTCAGTGTGAAGAATCAACAATGGAAATTCTTTCTCTAGTGCCTAGAGAAAACTGTGCTTTGAGAGGGCAATTAAAACAAAACAAAACAATCAACCAACCAACAAAAAAAAAAACATCCCAAAGTCTTTATTATTGCAAAGTTTTTGTCAGTTTGGATGAGGTTTTACTGGAAACCTGTTAGTTATCTGGAGGAAAAACAAACAAAAATGTTCATAGATTCTTTATAACTTAGGAGTGAAGGCTTTTGTTGAATGCTGGAGCTGTATGTCCGCAAAGGTCTGAACAGAGAATAATCCAAAATAAATATCACCCAATATACAGCACAAATGCACGACGGCTGAAACTGGATTTGTTGAAATTTGAGTCTATAGCTTATTCCTAATCTTAACTGTCATCCTCTTATATATATAAAGTGAGGGGATGCTCTACCTTCTTCTTTTGCATCTCCAGAAGTGCATTAGACATCAGAGGATTCTTGCAAATCCTCCAGCTCCCCAAGGATGCTACAGACATCCTCATCTTCTTCCATCAACTCTTCTTTAGATGGCTTCCTGGGAAACGTAGTACAAGTGTATGAATTCATTTGGATGGGCCGCAACACACAGCACATCAAAATGCGCTCGAGGTCCATCCAACAAAGTATCTAATTTGACCTGTACATAGGTTCATCACTCTGCAGCGGACATCTGGAAACTGCAATTGGAACTCTTTTTGAGTCTGTTGGCCCATTTCCTTTTTCCATTATCATTCCACAGATGTGAAATGGATGTAAAAATCAAAGTCACTGAATGAACAAAATGAGAAAAAAAATCACAGAGCCTTTTGGTAGGAAAGAAAGTAGTACATCCTACCAAAGATACATCTATAACTAAGAGCAGAAGAGAAACTAAGATGGATGTTAGCAAAGAAGTGTAATTAATTTCATTTTGTTTTAAATAGTATAAAAGAATAATAATTTTTCTGTGAATTAAGTGGACAAAGATACACAGAAGAACTAAAAGCTACCTCTCAGACTAGAAAAAGAGTTGAAAGGATGTAATTTTCTTTTTTTGTGTAGTTGTTTACACTCACCACAACCAGAAAGACATCCTGACAGAAATGCCAACAGGCAACACTCCTCCTACAGCCATCAGGAAGAAAAGAATGCACATTTAGAGGTCACCTTTCCAAAATGATCACCAATACTTGGGCACTGGTTTGTACCTTTCTAAGTAAGAGGAACTATGACAATTTTGAATTTTCTCTGCTGATGAGTGCTCCTGACTCAAGACAGGAGTCAAGACGCATAACCCCAAAGCTGAAGATCCATATTTAATTATGTAATCAGAAGCTCAGGAATTTACCAAACTCTTTAACCTTTCTCTAACAGCAGTTTCCACCCTCTTTCCTTTTTCATTTTGCTGTGATGCACTGAATAGACCCAACTATCCCAGCTTCAGTTAACTGCTTTCCCATTTTTCTAAAAGGCATGGCTGCATCTTTTCTCCGGGGAAAAAAAAAGTATCCATTTGTATATAGAAAAAGGGAGAAAGTATCATCCGTCTTAAATGAAGACCAAAATGTCAAACTCAAAATCTTCTTCGATGTAAATGTTCTTTAAAAGATTCTTCAAATAAAAACAAGAAGTATTTTCTTAACTGTTCACCTCTTACTTTCACGTAAGTATTATGCAAAACATTCACGGAACCATCTCATATCACGGGAAATACATATCTTTAAAAGTTGCTCTCTTCTGCAAGCTGGCACAGGTGTTAGAAAGACTAAAGTGCTTTAAAACATGCTACTTCACTGCAAGGAAAAAGGCAAAATAGTTCAAATACTTTTCTAGCATTTTTACTTAATAGGCTAAACTGCACTAAATTTAATAGTGTGGCTCAGTGCAAGTATTTAGTGTACCCTTCATCTGAATCCTGTAGTTTTGCTTTAAAAAACTATAGATTTTTGTATTTAGGAAAAGTGGAAAAAAGTAATTCTAAAATAGCACCCAGAGTAGCGAATGCACACAATTCAGTATTCAGTGGATGCTTAAGCCCTTACTACTTTAAATCCAGAATCAGATTTTTCAAGACCTTAAAGGGAAGACAAATCAATTCCTGTTACGTATGTTATGTATATATATCTGTATATACATGATAGTAACATATTTTATCTTTTTAAAAATCAAATGTGTTACACTTTAGATCCAAATATTTGGGAACAACAATACATTTTAGACAAAATAAAATGGCATGTTTTAAAAAGCCTTCATAACGTTTTGCTAGCCATAGTATAAGCTAGCATTTTCCAAGTAGCAGTGTTTTTTCAGCGATCATCACTGAAGCAGAAAAACACAGTAGAGTCAAAAAAGGTATTCCTATTTTTGAATATTTTTATAATACTTATAGTTCCACTATACACACCCTTTTAAAAGTTCACCTGTTTTACCATTTCACATAATGCTCCTTTGAAAACAGTAAAGCAATTTCCAAGTACCATTGTTCCAATATAGAAACGTTCTCTGTGGATTTCTATAACATTAGCTTGTCTTTATCACAGATTACTTCCACAAAATGGGGGCATTTACTTTTTAGCATACCTGGGTTTGGATTCTGTTAAGCCCTCTGAACCAGAGAATTTGTCCACGTCGAAGTTCTCTCTCTGCATGATCAATTTCTTCAACATCTTCATTGAGTTCTTCTTCAGGAACCTCTTCCTTCTCAGTGAGCCGCCCTGCCTCCTTTAAAAACTTTAGCCTACTTGTTGGGATGGTTGCAATGACCTAAAATTACAAAGAGCTGCTGAAAACATCAACATAATTCAATAGCAAAAACAATAAGCTGCTAATTGTAAAAGAATTGATATTTTAATGAGATTTCTAATCCTCCAGAAGAGCTTCAGATTTGCATATTCATTGCAGTACTTTACATTTATACAACTCCACTTTATAAACAGTTATAAACCACATTAGAAATACATGGCTATGGAGCAAGTTGAAGGCTGGAAAGAAGCATTGTCCTTCCTCAAAAAAACTAAGGGGGAATGTAGGTATTTAGAATGTAATTATTTAGAGGAAACTTCACAAGATTGATACTTTCGCAATTAGTGTTCAGGGATTTCTAATGACTGAAAACAGACTAATGGCTGTTAATGTAAGCTGAAAATCAGTTGCAAGTCTCTTCACACTAAAATTGGTTCAGGCATTCCATTTCCCTTTGATTTGGAAAATCAAAATAGTTTTCTCAGCATGTAACAGAAACAAGGTTTCTAACAGTGTACCTATGAGTAGCTTCCTACTTTTTTGTAGGAATTTTTGTAGAGTTTTCTCTTACTCTGTCCTCATTAGTAATACATACAGTTTATGTCAGCCCATTTTCTTACTCAGTTTGGCTATCTAAATGGTCACTGGAAGTAATTAATAGAAGAGATGGCTGCTGATCTTAAGGAATTGTAAATAGCAAATTAAGACGGTGGTGTTGAACATGATTATTGTGGATAAATTTCCATGTTGTTATCTTGGGTAGTCATTTATTTCTCATTTCTTCTGTCAGCTTGAATAGTAATACAGATGGCCATTTAAAAATGACATTAGCTAGAACGTTTTAAATGCTAAAAAAATTCTACTTCAAAATTAACTATTAGACACATCTAGTTAAAAAAAAAAAGTGCTTTCATTTTCTTTTTTTTTGCTTTTGTTTCAGCAGTGAGCAGTCACATCTCTGAAGCCCAGATGTGTGGATAAAAATGGAGTCAGCTGGAAAAGAAAAGAATTTTGCAGATAAGAAACTACAGCTCTGGGACATTTGACAGCCATGGAAGTTGCTGTCTGGTGGATGAAAGTCTTCTTCAGTTTGTCATACTGATTTCTGTGGCCGTCTGGCATGTGGTATTGTCCAGATCACATAAGCCACAGCACAGACTAAGCTAAGTTATTCTGAAAATAAGAGTCTTGAAGGTATTCCCTACTGCTGATAGTTGGAGGAAAATGGATGAAGAGGCACCATATATTTTCAGGATGAAAACATACTGTTGATTTTGCTGAAGGTCTCCTTGAACTTTGTATACCACAACACTACTTTTATTACATCACTGTTAAAGACAGATAAAGAAACGTGCAAAACTATGAAACCTTTTAAAATGTACTTTGTGCTGGAAAACCTGAAGAGCTTGAAAAAGGAATGAATTAGCATGACACAAGCAAAGACAGAGCAGGAGTGAAAAAATAAAAGGTAAGTGCTAGTCATTGCAGTACTTATTGAAACTGCTTCAGCTTCCCAGCTTTCGAAAAATTTGATGTCAGTACTCTATAGAGAGAAGCTACTTGGTATCTGATGAAACTGATGTGGATGAAGGGCTTGCAAGACAGCTTTTATATAAACAACTATACTTGGTATTGATTGTGTGATAGAACATAGCTCTCCTTTAGCTAGGCTGCATCTGCTGTAATTCTTTTCTTAGAGTGTTCTTGTATTTTTTTGTTTGGGGGTTTGGTGCTTTTTTTCCCCCTTATCTGCAGACACCGGCCTTGTTCAGGTAATGGCAGACTCAACAGACTCAATGCAGATTAAGAAACTAATTATTATTCTCAAGTAAAGTACCATTTTGAAAAGTTACAACAATTTTCAGAACATAACCTGAAATGTTCTGGAAAAACCTTGTTTTCAGAAGTCTTGAGAGCCACTTTCAGAAACCACTGTCACTCAAAGCAATGCAGATTTGCATTCCAGAAATTCCTTAAACCTTTAAAAACCAGTTAGAAGTGCCAGATTTTGCATCTAAAATTTGAAGTCTTCATTGGTTACAGTGGGTGAGAAGAAGGGTGTGGAGAAAGTGTTAGAGCAAAGGGCTAACAAATTTGTTATGCTCCACAGTAGAATTAATCAGAGGAGGAAAGAAAAGCCTCACAATAAGGATGAGACTGTGCCCACCTCTGAATCGAAATCTATTTGATTCTAAATCTAAATTGATAACTATTTTTAGTTTTCAGTTGCTGATCAAAGGCTATGGGAAGTTCTTCACAGCTGAATCACCTCATATAACTCACAGGCTTTATCTCCCTTTCCATGTTTCTCTTTTCCTCCCCCCAAAGTTGGTATTTTCCATCAGTGCAGACAGAACTTTACTTTCCAAGACTGATCAAACTTTATTTTCTCCCTATGTAACTTAATAACTCTAATTTCACCTTCAGATAATAACTACATTAGCACAACGTAATAATGGTGATTTTCAGCAAAATAGGTATTAAAAGCTGTTGTAATTGAACTTATTCTTCAAAAAAAAATCTAAAGTCCAGCTGTCCAAAAAGCTTATGTAGTGATTTTTTCCCATAATATATCAATTTTGAAAGCTAGAATTTACTCATTACAGTTCAATCAAATCAATTCTGTATTCAACTGCATCAGCAATTTCTTGCTTGACAAATGAACAGATCGATATGCATCTTTATATCTGAGAAGCAAAATGTTAATATTTTTCACACTTTTTAAGATGTGTCAGGTGTCACCAACTTAAAGACATTAAAAGTATATTCAAAGATGAAAAAAATACTATTATTTTTTGCAATCCAATTTTGTACATAAAATGTAATACTTTAACAAAACCAGTTGTAACTGTATTATGACAGCTAATCACATAACTTATTTATCACACAGACACTTGTTTTTACTTGTATATATAACCAGGTATCAGCTAATGATGACACAGGTTTCAGCAGAATTCATAAATTACATGTGAATTAATCTGCACTTTTCTGCAGCTATGCTAGGAAAAAATTCTTTTTTCTGTCACCCCTTCCTCTGTCCTTTGCACACAAAAGTAGGATTGCTGCAGGCATGTATTAAATGCACTAGGCTTGGTCTTATGCAAGTTACAAGGCATGGTTTGACATAGCACTGGAATCTCTTTTCACTTTCAAAAATTTGTCATGGCCAAACAGACATTGCTTTGGATACTCTATAGGAAGCTTATAGTGCATTTGCTATATGGTTTTATGTTTATAGGTTGTGAATCAACTGTCTTTCACACAGAGCACTGAGGATGCTTTTTGTGATAGCATACCCTGCTTAGGGTAAGAAAAGATATAAAAATTAACAGGAATGAAAAGTAAAAGTGGGATAAAAAGTAATTAGGGAGCTATTTGTATTTCAGCGTGTGGCAAATATGATGTTCTGAGAAGGAAACAGGATAGTAGGATTATGAACTGTTTTTTTGTGTGACTTGTGGCAAAAACTGGTCTTTGACTGGTTTATAAAAACAAAAGATATTCTGCATATTCCTGGATGCTTACCTGACCCCATACAAGTTCTCCTAATCCAATAAATACACACCACATCCACTGATCAAGCTGCAAGGGAGAACAGCTAAATGGTTTTCCTCCAAACTGGACAATTACTATCTACAAAGAAAAGCAGAGAAGAAATGGGGTAAATACTTTGTTAAATTTTGGATGGCAGTTTATTTTGGAATGGCCTCTGCACAAGAAATTTTTCTCTCTGATATTTTATTGTACACTTACAGATGTGTTATCAAGATAGACTGACTCTACCAAAATTTAGTCCTGTTGGAGAAATGGTGGGAAAATCACGCACGAAAAGAACATATTTATATTACGCAGGAGACACAACCAGCACCCACAGAACCTGAACAAGTTTCTAAGCCTGGTTAGATTGAGAACTTTTGCTAACTGAAAATCAGATATTGATATTTTTTGTTAGCAGTACTGCTATGAAATAATGGACCTTACAACACAACTCAGGTATTTAAACTCTCAAAAGCTGCATTAACACTAGTTAAAAGTCATTTGTCTCTTCTAGTAAGTAAACAATGAACAAACAGTGAACACTGACTCTTTCTGTGTGAATTGTAAATATACAGGAAGAAGGAGGAGGACAGAGAATGGAAGACAGCAGACAATAAATGTTTGGACACAGTAAGGGAAAAGCAGACAAATAAATGTGAATAGAATGCTAAACTTGAAAGAAGTTACAGCTTCACATTAAGAATTTTCCAGCTGCTCTATGATAGGTATTTCGTCTTTTAAACCATCTTCCTTCAATATAAAAATCTTATTATTTTACTCTGAAAGCAGAAAAAAAAGATTAAAATATAAAAGCAAGCTACTGCTTTTCTAAGGAGAGTCGTGATAATTATCCCTTCATTTCTCAAGCTGCTGTGGAGCTTTCAGAAGAAATTTCTTTGGATGCTACGTTGTAGGAGTCTCCATTTTGTTCCTTTGAAATTTTTGCCAAAGCTGTTGATTTTTTTTGGAGAGGTTTTGGATGAGGACAGTTAGTGTAACTGCTGCACTCAGTTGCAATAAAGCCAGTAAGCCTCTACTCAGCAGAAAGTACAAAAAGGAATAGTAAATCTGTGTAAAATACTTCATTGCTGTTTGTACTTTAAAAATATTTAATAATTTCTCCTAACAAATAAATACATATGGAATGTAGTAAGTTTTAAGCATAAAATTAAAAACAATTCTGCAACCTCTCATATACATCTAAATGAACCAAGCTGCTGGAGTTAATCAGCTTCTCTTTAGAACAAAATGCTTGGCTCACACAGTCAGATGTAACAACACACAGACAAGATAGTAAGTGCTATTCTGACACTGCTTCAGCAAACAACATTATTCAAAGTTATATTTTCATAAGAGAAGAAACAATAGAAAGAGTAACCGTTTATTGTCCCAAGGAAAATTACCTGACTTCAAGACTGAAAAGCAAATGAGAGTCACAGCCTGAATAGTCTTAAACCGCTATTTCCTTTTTGATACACTGGCAGAGTGCAAATCTGTTGTTGTGAAATATGCTCTGAAATACTTCTGCTACGAGAAAATCAGGGAGGGAGGAGTAAAATCAGAAACTGATTCAGAAATGTGGCTAGTAGCTAGTTAACGCTTTTTCTTCAGCCACATGGAATTGAACACAGTAATGACTAGAACTAGGAAGACATTCTCAAACAATTCCCATGACAAATAATGTAAAGATGCCTCTGAATTTTTCAGGCCTCTCTGGAGGCATTCTAGTTCAGATTAGCAAACCCCTGTTCTTGAGCTGTTGAAGACCATCACTATCAAATTCTACCTCCACGCAATGGTGTCCTTTCTTTATCCCACACTTAATTTACTGACTGGTTCCCTTTCTGTTTTCAAACTACTGTGCTTCAGATTGAAATGACTCTATTCTTCTCCTTATTCCTGTCATGAGAAAGGTCCCAAAACTGATGGTTTCCAGGATGCCGTTGCAGAATGGGTGCTAATGCCATATAATTAGTTCATGTATATGTCATATGTGTCATAAACATATAAATAGTTGAATGCAGCAACTGTGAGGTCTGAAAGGTAACGTCAGATTGTGTCAAGTACAGGATAGAAGACAGCAAATGGATAGAGACTAAAGCAGAATGAGGAATTGGAGGTTTTATGAAATAAAAATAGTAAATGTTGAGAAAAAGGTGTATTTCTGTAATTATGTTTACATATGATATGGCCAACAAACTTTTGGGATAGATATGAAGAATTACTACCCAGGAGCATTACTAATGAGAACCTGAAATAGGATTTGGCAATGACATTTAACCTTAGAAGAGTGGATTAATACTAGAGAGTTATTGTAAAACACCTTGTTGCTATTGGTTAATATAATATTTAATAATATCTCCAAAAAAGTAAACAAACCATGACAGCTATTGTTATATCTTCAGATTAATTTAAGATTTCGCCTGCTGATAATGATCAACATTTATGTTGCATTAGGATGACTACACAACATTTTCCATTGTAGACAAACATATTGATTCAGAAAGTACACGAGTCCAGGTAGTTTTATAATTACTGTGCCTCCTGCATCTTTTAGACTAAACAGGCATAGAAAAAAAAAAGTCACCTAACTTTCTTTTGAGTAGGTATTAATTTATGACCAAATCATTACCTGAATAGCAAATGTACCCAGTACAATAGTGCAAAAAATAGGATTTCTGAAGATGCCATCAAAGACATTTCTCTCTCCATGGATTTTGCGTGCGTTGATTTCATTGAAAAGCTGCATCATGACAAAAGTGTTGAAGATAATGGTGTAGTGCTCTGAAGGAGGAGAGTGGAGTGGTGCATTTCTCCCACTGTCAATTTTAAACATTTTCTCACCTGGGTATAAGACAAAAGTAAAGGTTTCCACTAGAATACAGAGGTTTTTTTGTTTGTTTCCTTTGCTTTAGCTAGTTGCCTGCTTTGCTCTACTTTTTTCTTACTATCTACAGGCAAAATTCTGCATTCCAGAAAGCAAAGACGTCTAAATTTCCTGAGCAGAAAGCTTCCCCAGTGATAACTTTTCTCTGATAACTCAATCTACCTGCTCACAGTTACTATTTTTTCCTCTAACCAAGTTGTAAATATTCTAAGTCAATTCCATCTGATGCAGTGAGCACTTAAGACCTATTGTATGTTTTCATTTTTCTACCAGAATTAGAAGCAATCACTCTTCAGCAGTTTTTAACTTATTTGCTAGTACACTTGCCAAGACTCTTGACAAGTTCATGGATATTAATGGTAAAAACACAGACATTCTTGATTCTAAATAGATTTGATCATGATTATGGTAAATGTGCTCTGAAGCACAACATCAGGCATTGCTCTTCATTTTGATAATTTGATTTTCACTTTTAGATCTGACCAATAAAGAGGATACAATCCATTATGAGTAATAGTAAAATTGAGATGAGATTTGAAAAAAATACCTGATGGACCTCACTTCACATTGACAAAAGTTTACAGATAACATACAGTTATTGAACAAGTTATTCATTTGAAGTAAGAATGAGACGTTCATATGAAAGAGTAAATAATGAATGAAATAAAGAGTAAAGGTTATCACACTACAACCCACTTTCATAACAAGTGTTGCAATAATAAAAGCAAATAAATCTTTAACATTTTTTGCTATCCCACTAGCGCTATCCTCAGAATTTCTGAATAAGAAGAAAAGGTTTCCTGAGGTTTCCCCTTGACGTCATAATTCTATCAGCTAAGTTGACAGTGAGGTTTTTTGCCTTAGGATATTTGAGCAGTTCATGTTGGGGTCACTGGAAATAATGAGCATGGTTCCAAACAAGAATTTGGCTTATAACCTTTTGACAGAAAGTAGATTATTACATCAAAAAATAAATTAGTAACACAATACGAGACCATAAAATTTGGACTCTGAGAGTAGAGATTTTTAAGAATATCATATATCTCCAAGGAGATCACTAAGGATTGGAAAACACTTTCCTTAATACATATAAAGGAAAAAATAATGGCAGAAACATTTCAGTATTTTATTTTATGCACACACAAAAAGTCATTACACCTATTTGCCTTCACTCAATACACACACAAACATACAAATACTTGTGAGAGTGAGAGTACCTATGCTTAAGTCATTTATTGCACTGTGTCACTTAAATGGCATAGCAAAGGATGCTGCTGCAAAAAATGTAGTTGATCAAAACAGAAATCTGAAATCAAACTAGAATTTGTATTTAGAACATCTCACTATAAAAGTGATCCTTCTCAGAGATCAGAAAGGAAAAGGCTGTACTTCCTAGGCTTCTGAGAAAATCAGTTACGGTTTACCAGAGACACAAAAATAATTAGGATAGAGTGAGAAAAACCTGGTTTTCTTTTCATCAAGGTTCACTATATTTTAAGTGATAACACTCATCAAAAAGACATCAAAATCCCCATAAAGTTAACAGATTTTTTTTGTTGTTCCAGGACTGGAATCAAATGAATTATCAAGACATTCTGTGCCTGTTTCAGAGATCTGAAGTTACAATTTCCTTAGGCTCACTAGATGTGCTCAAACTCTACTGTAAGCCTGTCATAGTATTAAGAAGCATCTGTCTCCAAAACCTGGCAATTATTTTGATTCAAATATCTCTATTGTAAGCAGACCATCACCACCACCTCAGTTGAGGTGACATAAACCGTCAGTTTGGGCTAAGATGGAGCAAGGCTTTCAAAACGAAGTTCAAAAAACTCCTAAAATTTTCATAATGATAAATTTAAATGTATAGCTTTTATGAAATTCTCTGTTTATAATGATAAAACATCTGAAAAACAACACATGCCATTTAACCGCAGTGACATATTGTCAAGAACAAAATATCTATTGATAAAACTATCAGCCCTTTGGGCGATTTGACTCGTTGTGGAGCAGTAGCAGTCTGTTTTTAGTGCCTGCACTTCTCTCCAAGAAACACTCCTCTTTCCTCTCTCACTTGAAAATACAAAGCATAGGAAAAACATCCATTTCTAGTAACACCTGAAAAAGAGTCCAGGATGGAAATAAGAAAACAGATAATTTCTTTCTCCCTTAATATTCGTTTTCTAATTAAATGCCATAACAGATTGTTATTTTTATCACCTAATTCCAATTACTTGCTTATCTGTAATACTTAAGATCAGTATTATTTCTTGACTTACATTCTGTTCCCTGATTACGGCCTCTCAAGAAACTGGTAAAATGAATCTTGATTTTTGTTGCTTTTTCTGTTGTTGTTCTACTTGTTTTTGTATGTACCCACTGAAGATAACAAGTTTCAAAACGAAATCCCAAGGCAGGAGGAGCAGAGTAGATACTCTGATTGAAATGTAGCCTTCCGTGGTACATTTTAAAATGAAATTCTCTCAAATCTACATTTTGTTAGTAGGCAAAACAGCCATTTCAAGGTGGTGGCTGAATTCCTCTGTCCGGTCTCCTGTTTCTCCTTATATTCCTAATCCCCTTCCACAGTCCAGCCCTGTTAGCTGCCTAACTATGCGTATGTGCATCAAGTGGTTACATTTAAAGCCTTCTGACACATGACTCTACATGATCTACGTGCCTCTACACCATGCAACAAGCCTGTCTTTCTTACCAACAAAAAGAAGTGTAAATATTAGAGTAAGCTGGTAGACAGCATGGCCCAGAATGTTCTTCATCATGGTACGGGATATAAGAGGTTTGTTCCTGCCATATGGCTTTCTTAGCAATAGAGCTTCTGTTGGAGGTTCAGTGGCCAGAGCAAGTGAGGCAAAAGTGTCCATAATTAGATTGACCCACAGCATCTGTACAGCTTTTAGAGGAGAGTCCTGTGGAGACAAATTATAAAGTTACTTATTTCCTTGAAAAATAATTGTTGTCAGGTCATTTACTGTGATTTCATTTCCTCCATTGCAACTGCAAGAAGTGTTGAAGACAAGATACTGAAACACATGGACCTTTGGTTTACCTTACTATGTCTGTTCTTTCATTGCCCAGACAAGATCAGAATCACAGGAAACAATGACCAGAGCAAAAATAAATGATTCCAATTTTTTTTTTTCAAGTTATTTCAGTCAGCAGTATTTACAGTCACACAATTTTTATAAAGTGTAACATTAGTAATTTCTAATACATTTCATAGTGCTGTCTGTACTTCAGCACACGATGAAGTACGTGCTTCAAATTATAACTGAGTTTATGTAACTGCATAACACAAATATAGCTGGAATTTTCCTGGAAGAAAAATCATGCTGAAGGAATTTAAAAAGTCATGGTTCATTACTTGTAGCTTTCACCTGTACAAAAACAGTGCCCATTTTTGGAATCAGCTTGAAATTGTTAAAAAATGAGGAAACAATGGCTAAAACATTTTAAGACATGTCGTACATAAATAAGACCTTTTAAAAACATCTGTGATGAAAACATCTGATATTTGAATACAAAAAAAATCTAGATGCTCATTAAAATGCATCAGATTTGCAAAAGGAAACCCTGATTACTCTATTGGGTAACCAGATAGCATATTAGAAAATATGGAACTTGCTGCTTGTCAGAATAAAGCATCTGTTTCTGAATCAGATCGCCAGCCACTAGAAGGAGCTCTTTCCTCATTTAATTCAAGACAGAAAGTGGCTAAGGTCTTATTATAGAGGACTTTACCTTATGTTTAAAAACATGATAACACTGATCTCAGGAGAAAGTGTAGATGGCTGTTATACAGAAGTGATTTTTAATTCATTTGGTCAGCTGTAATGATAGGTTGTTGCAATTGCTTCCAAGAGTCCTATCAAGAAACATTAAGTCTGTTGTTTTTGGTTTTTTGCTTGTTTGTTTTTGTTGGTTTTTTTAACAGCTTCCTGTGCCTTTAGACTGCATGCAAAATAGGCACCAATAGTAAAACATGCATTTGCTTTCAAATAGAACCTCTTCATGGAAATGGAATCCCCAAAGCAGTAAGATATCAATATGACAAATTTGATAGTAGAATGGAGTTAGTCTACAGCGAGAAAGTCTGAAAATTGGGGCACTATTTTTATGAGAACTTCAGTGTCATTCAGTATTGAAACAAAGAAATGTATGGAACAGCAAATAAAAAAAGTTTTATGAGCTCTGCCCTTTTCCTCAAAGAAAAATATTCCCCTCACAGCATGGAGGCCCTGGAGCATGTTCAGAGAAGGGCAGCTAAACTGTGAGGGGTCTGGAGCACAGGCCTTGTGAGGAGTGGCTGAAGGAGCAGGGATTGTTCAGTCTGGAGAAGAAGAGGCTCAGGGGAGACCTTATCACTCTCTATAACTGCCTGAAGGGAGGTGTTGTGGCAAGGTGGTGGTCATCATCTTACCCCATGTAACTAGCAATAGGATTAAAGGGAATGGCTTCAAGCTGCACCAGGAGAGATTCAGGTTGGATTTATTCTCAGAAATTTATCCTCAGAAATTGTGGTCAGGTGCCGGAATGTGCTGCCCATGGAAGTGGTGGCATCTCCATCTCTGGAGGTGTTCAAGAAATGTGTGTTTAGATGTGGTACTAAGGGACATGGTTTAGTGGGAAACATTGGTGGCAGGTGAACAGTTGGACTAGATGATCTTGGAGGTCTTTTCCAACCTTGGTGATTCTGTGATTCTGTGATTCATTTTTAATGAAATACGATCAAACTATGAGTGCCAGTATCCATTCAGTATCCCAAGAACACATGAAGAATAGGTAAATGGCCAGGTCTGTTGTGGGTCTGGCTTGTATTCCAATTCTCCCGAGGTAAGGTATATTATTTCCTCTTGAAAAATATTTTTAGCAGCCTTATAATCAAATATATTTTGACACACTAAAAAAAAAGCACATTCTTTTTTAGTCTTTTCATAGGGATGGAGAAGAGCAACCTCCTTTTTCAGTCTTACAGATTGGGTACACTAAGGATGGGTGGAAGATTAGCATGAATAGATTCTTGACCTCTTGGTCATGGGTTGCATTAACTGGGCTTATCTACAGATTCAGTTCATTCATGAAGCTGCAGCAAGAGGAAACATCTGTATCTAAAAAGCTATAAATCTAAAACCACTCAAAAATCATGAACTTCATTTATTTTAATTCATACTAATGGTTCAGCTGCAAGTGTAGCAAAAGTTGTTAGTTGCCAGGGCTCATAGACCCTAGCCTAGTATATAGAGAAAAGGGAAAACATGTTTTCTCCTGAAAAACTGTCGTATTTTTGTCTTTGTAGTTATTGAGTTTTCTCAAGAAACATTCCTACATTGAGGTGCTATAGAAGCTGAATTTGCTACTTTGTGTGCTGACATCTATGTCAGTAGAAACGGAATTTGTCTGTTATGCTTAATAAATAGAGTCAAATGATCAGATGTCTATCAGAGCCTGACATATTTCCAGCACAACAAAAACTCAGGCTCTTTCAGTCTCTAAATCACACAACTGTAATTGGCAGTCATCAGTTTTGGCATCAACACGTTCTCACCATTTCACACTGCCAATCACCTTGGGTGGCTATGGTGCCTCTAATAATTATCTATTATAGGCAGTGCTACACTGTTCAGTCAAGTGTGAAAGCTCATTCTAAGCTGAAGCCAAAACATTAAATACACATTAGTCTGGGCAGGAGGTGGAATGAAATTTCCACTGCAGCTCCACCTGATTTCTGATTAGTTGATGGAAACTAAGGAAAATACGTATCAGCTAAGGAGCCTAGTCTTTCATTACAGATTTTATTCACTTGTGCTGTAAAAGTGGAAGGCAAAATCAATGTCATTTTTGCTGCGTTTTAGCCCCTGACTAGCTAGCAATGAATTCTTCACTTGCTTTCTTAAAACTATGGGGATGGAAGCTGTTCAAACTGCAAACCTCCCAAAATCATGACTTATTTGTCAAATTTCTTTCCACTTGACCTTGGAATAGGTTAGCATTGGCCTAGAGGTAAAAGGAAAATGTCCCTTAAATCAAGTGATGTTACACTTCATCTTAGAAACACTTAAAAGTACAAATCACAAACGGCTGGAAATACACTGTAAATCTTTTGTGACATGCAGAGTCTATAAAATGTTAGCGCTTGTTACTTTTGATTTAGATGACAACTTGTATGGGAATAAAAAGGTATTTTTACCCTTACCCCTTTATTTCTACTTGTCACAGTACACATGTATCCATTCATAAAAACAAGTGTTTCTGGTAGTTTGTATACACTGATGTAAAAATAAAACCCTTGCTTGCACTGCTGGATCACACTGTCTGATAAGTGAATGGAAGTGGCCATTGCTTCTGTGCCTTCTGAAAAGATTGAAATATGTTATGGCTTTTTTTTCCAGTTTTCCAGTAGTATTACTTTAGGATTTGTCACATACAGTTCTGCAGTATACCATGTAAATTACTGTCTTACACATGTAAATATATATCCTTCCCTTTTTTTTAATAAGGTCTGTAAAAACAGTAGGTGATTCATGCAGTAGTTCATTGCTGAAGTGCTTTTTAATTAACATTTAATTTTCCAAACATGTCCTTTTAAAAAATTAAGTCTTTCTTTAGTACGAGAACAATAACTTGAATACAAAATGTTAAAACGTGGTCTTTGTTCTATCTTTCTTCAGTGCAACCTTTTGGAATAATTACATTGCCTCAACAGTTGGAAGTGGAGATAAAATTTTGCACAGATGTAAATTTGTTAGCTTAATATTTCCAGTAAAAAAAAATGTTTCCATTTGACTGAACTACATTTTAAAATCTTATGTTGTACATAGTCTTTTTTTTTTTTTTTTTACAGTTACAAATATAACAACCCAATTATTTGCTTGATGTTGTGGATGCTGGGGACTGGAAACAGCATGAAATTTCATATGGAAATCTATATGATGCTCACAGACGTGTAATAACTACTCATTTAAAGTACAGCATTCACGATTGGTAGGCAGAGTTCCAAAAAGAACCCTCACTGAATGAATCAAAGGCTCTGCAATCAGATGTTACCCAGAGAAATAAATCAGATTACAAGAGTTTGTAGCTCACTAATCCACTGGAAAAAGAAAACAGTTGCTAAACTGAAAGAAAAATAACAGGTAAACTGTTCAAGATAACTGTTCAGGATACCCTGACCACTTTAAAAGCATGCACTGGATTATACACAGAGAAGGAAGTAAGAGGTAAATTAATTAGATTACTTGAAAGATTAGGTGAATTAATCCATCTCAGCTGTACTATGCCATGGAAACTACACTGACCATTGCTGGCTGCTGTGAACACAATGGAGACCTGTGCAGCCGTAGACTGAGTGATCTTGATTCAACTTTTAATAAGAGACTTTGTGAAGTTGGGTTTTCTTGTATGACCTACATTTCAAAGCATTTACAGAACCACAGCACAAAATTTCATTAGCAGAACTCTGATAGATCGAGGTGCTGTAAGCTGATATAGGGCACAGTCTAAACTAGATCACTCTAAGGGGCAGCATCACTTTGGCAGCAATCACTTAGGACATGATTTCTGCCATCTTTACATAACTTCACATTGGGACTGATGACACAGGATAACAAATGACCATTTCCATTAGTCCTATTTAGCCTGCATAATAAATTCTTCAGTAGCCAAATGCTTCTAAATCCTCTCTAAAATTGGAATAGCATTAAGTATCATATAAGTGTTGTATATGTGAGTTAAACTACTGCAACAACAAAGGAGTACAAAGAAGAAACATGGTAGATATTCTCTGCCAGAAGTGCTGAATCAGCCATTAGGTAGATAAAAAAATAAAAAATGTTTGTTTGGCACTAGAAGAATTAAAAGCTAATCTGTAGTTCCCTGAAGTAGAACTTGGTAAAGTCACTGGTTTCATTTAGGTATTTGAGAAAAGCAATGCTGCATATTCTTAAAACAACAACTAATGATTTCAGACCCCACTCAAGATTCTTCTCCTTGTCTCTCCATGGCACTCCTGAGGTGCTCTGAAGCAAACTAATCAGTTGGAAATGCTCCCTAGATGTCTAGTTTCACCAATAATAGTATTCAGACAAGTGCACTCTTTCATTAATTTAGAGTTGCATTAGTTTCAGGAGGATTCCTGCAGCAATACGACCACATACGTGGATTTACATATATACCAATGTAACTGTAGGATGAACAGATTGAATAAAATTAAGTATTTAGTCATAAAACAAACCAAGTGATAGAAAAAAATCAGTCAAAACAAAGATCATCTTTGTTCTTCCTTTTAGTGCAAATAGGAAAAAAAAAAAACAAACATCAAAAAAGTCCTAAGTGTAAAAGAAGCTTAATACATCTCAGTGTGCTGTTTCTAAACTACAGAAAATCTTTTTGAGAGGTGACATTAAGAAGCATGAAATAAGCATTACCCCCCTAAATTGAAATTTTCTCATTCTAAATTTGATAAAACCACCAAAAGGGTAGGCTGGGTAATATTCATTAACCTGAATATTAGTCATGGACTAAAATTATATTCTGTGTGTCAAACAAAGCCAAATCGACTACCTGAAAGCAAAGCAAATTTCAATCTACATTCATTTTGAAGGTCATAGAAAGTTGTGTTGCTTTTTGGAAACTCTGGATTTCAACTTTGTTTATTAAGAACTTAATTGATTCAGTCAAAATAATAATTAAAAACCTGTGCAGAGTTTTGCAGACTTGTATCCATGCGCACCGAGCCTACTGTATGATTTTTCAGTACATTCATGCATTCTGTGCTAGAGCTATTATCATAGCAACAAGAGAGTGCAGTATGTTCCCAAGTGTAATTTTTAGTAGAGCTTATGAGCCAAACAAACATAATGCCCTTTCACTGCCTAGAATCTTTGAGTCAGAGCCTAACGTAATAATGTTCATTCGTAAAGCAAGATCCTTGTTGAATGAGATTGAAATGAGAGCTGCTTGAGATTATCAGCAGTCAGCCAGTTCAGTGTAAACAGAACCACAGTGGAAATAACTGCTGCCTTTTTCCTAGTTCCAATTTTAGCTCCTTTCAGATCTCTTCCTTTACAGAGGATTTACGTTTTTACTGCCAAATTAATGAATTACATAAGAATCTCTTTGGGCAGAAATACACAAATTCTAGGAGCTGCACATTAGAAAAAAAACATCAACAGAAACTGTGTACCTGACAGTCTCAGTGATGGTCTTAGAGACCATTGGGTTAATACAGAAACACTGGGCCTGATCCAAATCCTTTTGGAAGCTGATAGAATGATCCAAACGATGAAAAAAGCTCTGGCAATAGAAAGGGGAATGTGCCTGCATTGATCAAATGCTACACAAGACCTCAATGTAGAATAGTCTTTGTATTGATTCAATAACGTTTACCTCTTCAAGAATGAAATATAAATTTTTTACTTAACAACTAGAGCTAATTTCTTCTAGTGCTTTCAGAAAGCAATGAATAATCAGCAAACAAAAAAAAAAGAAAAAAAAATCACCTGACATAGATGTGTGTCAGCAGTGATTGAATGTCTACAAAACAAGGGCTCAAAAGGAACCAGTCCCCTCAGTTCCATTCTGGTACTCTTATCGTGTTGCTATTAGCACTTCTTTGTATATTATTTAGTACAGTTGTTGAAATCTGGAAGGATTTACCTTCCACATCTTTATTACTTATTCGTGTAATTTCTGTTAACAGTGAAAAGCACTTTACAGCTAAACGTTTTCTCAATAATGCTTGTGATTATTTTCCATGAGAAAACGAAGTTTCAGATTTCTGTCTTAGTCACAGGCTCAGTTGTGACAACAAGGCATCATCAAGACATGAAGGCAGCATGGTAGGCAACTAGCACTTAGCGCCTTGCCGTTTTTTACTTCTCAGAAAATCAATAAATCGAGGTCTCAGTGCTTCCTATGTACAGAGTACAAATATTTATTTCATACATTAGGATGACTTCTGCTTGCTTCTAAAACCAATTTCTGATTTCTCTGAGAATTTCAGCCCTAGCTCTAACGCTCAATTAGTTCAGAGGAGATAAATGACAACAGTTGCACCCACCCAGCTGCCGCGTTGTGCTAGCAGAAGCTGGGAACTGGCAGACTGCTCATACACAGCACAGATGTGGCCTCTAAACGTCTGTCAAGGCTTAGGAGAAGTTTGACCTCATGGTTTTATAAAGGTACATGAGTTTCTGGTTTCAAGGATTAATTCCATGATTGCAGTGTAAGTTTACCCCAGAGCAGAGCTAATAACTTATTCATTGTTCTGCTCAGGTGTGCATGAGGTGGAATTTACCTGCTGAAACAGGTATGTGTGGCTGCATGATGTACACAGAAGCATCAGTGCATCTCAAGCAGAAGAAGCTTTTTCTAACAGTATCTCTCTGCTGCAACTGAAATGCACCTTAATTTACATTTGGGGGAGTAATAGCATTAATAAACTACTGGTTTTCTGTTTTCTAATGGAGGATGAACTTCCATTATAAATACTACAAATTTTTGACAGGTAAAAAAAATGTTAATTAAGAAGTAGTAACTTGTAGGAAAAAACACAGTATGCTTTTGTGAACGACCAAAACATGTTGCATGTGCAGCAAGACTGCACTAAGAGATTAGTGTAGAGAGAGAAAAGGGGATCCAATTCTAACTGTAGGCATCATTTAATTGGTTTGTTATTTGCACCTAAAATTAAAAGGACTTGCCTGAAAGCTACAAAATAATTGTTTTACAGTCAAAATGTTCCCCTGCTGGGATTACTTCTGTGTACTGCTATCTTGAAAATAATAGTCTTGTTTCATAATCTGTCATTAAACACATACTTACTATTTGAATATTCTGAAAGGAAAAACAAAGTCACTTCTTCCAATCCTTGGCACTTTCTGCTCTTTCATCACAGGCTCAGTCACAACAGTAATATGCAACCAAAAACAGGGAGGAATTTGCTTCCTAGATGGATTTGCTCACTCCCTTTCATCAACAGCTATTTAACACTTACCAATTTGATCCTAAGTAAATCCTTAATTTTCAGAAGAACTTCAGAAAGAATGCTTTGTGTTGTACAAAGTAAGAATTAAATGTAAATCACCTTCATCTTCAGCTAAGAAAAGATGTAGCTTAATAGGATTTGGCCTCGTGCTTTTAGTGATGCTGAAGTTATCCTTACCTGGGTAATGCATGCTCCAGTGAAAGCCACTATCACAGCCACAATGTTAACAGTGAGCTGGAACTGTAGGAATTTGGAGATACTATCATACACATTACGTCCCCACATTACAGCCTTCACAATGCTACTGAAATTGTCATCTGTTAGGATGATATCTGAGGCCTCCTTTGCAACATCTGTTCCAGCAATACCCTGGAAAAAAAGAATTGCAAATAAAATTACCAGGAAGTACAAGGACAGAACATAAAACCTCTGCATACTCAAAGTCATAGTTACATAGAGTTACCCTGCACTGTAACAGTGACTGCTGAGGATATTCTGCACTTCGTACTTGCTAGGATGTTAGCTAACTGAACCTATTTTTGAAAGTGAATAAGGAAGCAGAAAAGGGCATTGACAGAAAGCATTAGAATTCCTATGGTGATACTGCTGAATGCTGTGTAGCATCAGCTTATTGACTATTTAACCTTTGAGTTGTTCTTGTGTGGCATTTTTTTTAATCACCGAGAATATTCTATCAATATACTTGAACAGAAATAATAAAAATAGAATTACATATCTTAATACATATTCTCTATTAATATATGCTCAGAGTCATAGTATGTTGGGAGGACATGTTTACATGTAGCACTGGATTTTAGCAATGCAAATGGGTACTGCACTTTTAGGAAGAACATTGAGTTCATTTTTCTGTTTAGGCATTGGGTTCTACTTAGTCAATATGCAAAATATTGATAAAGTATGAAAACAAGACAATTAATCTATTATAGGGAATTAAAGGATTCTGAAGGAATGTAACCCACCCCTTCCAATGTATTGCTTCATTTACTATCCTTCTCAACACTTCAATAATGAAAAACTTTTTACAGCAGATTTATAATGACACAAACATTAATAAATAAGCTCAAGATCATACCATTGCAAAGCCAACATCAGCTTTCTTAAGTGCTGGTCCATCATTGGTTCCATCACCAGTCACAGCTACAACCTGCCTCTGCTCCACCTGTGTGCTGTCAATAATACCTGCAAAAAATGTATGTGTCTGTGTATGCATATATACATACATAAATATATATATATATAAAATAGGTAGCAAAATAAAACTTCCCTAATATTTCTAAGCAGTGTCTGTGTAACACAGACTGCATGAATCTCACAGAGATTAACAGTTGATTTCTAAGGAAAGTAATGATAAAAGACGTGATCAACATTATATTCTATTCAACATCTCCATTAGAATTTTCATGGAAATATCCAGAACCATCAAAAAAAAACAACATTTGCACAGACATCAAAGAATATATGGTCAGCTCATTCTAATTCTACTGGAAGATTTCTATTATTTATAGTTATGTATCAAAATAAATCCATTTCAGTCCTTCTTTCTGACTAAACTTCAGTGGAATTTTTTTACTGAAGATTTAAGTTCATGTTAAAAGTTTTCCTAAACTTGGTTTTAGCTATATTGCCTGTTTGGCTGAGATGCCTTCTGGCAACCAGTAGTGAGTATAACCTAAAGATAACAAATGTCATTAATTTTATCAAGCTGGAACCAAATGACCTTTTTAACAGAAAGATGTTTGACAGTGATTTGAGAAGATATAAAATAATTCTATGAATTCTGAAGCCAAACATTCTAATAAATAGTCATAATAAAATAATTCCCACTTTCCTTTGGCAAATTATCTCAAATTGAAAACACTTAAAGCAGTTGGTGAATTGATTTTCACCTAACTGCCAAAAACAAAACTATTTTCTACTTATGAAGAAAGATTTAATACTTCTACAGTCACAGAAGCAGCTCTGCATTTTAAGAGGATGGGAACAATTCTCTGCACATGCTTTTATTTCCACATTAGAGTCCATCTGTCAATTTATTGGGAACACAGGATTTCTGTGTAGGTAACATGGGGGGGGAAATGATGTTTCTTTTGCTAAAATATTTTGCACAAAGCCATACCACATACTCTAAAAACAATTATCAAAACCTATCCAGTGTGAAAAGCTTTCAACTATTCTGGGAAAAATAAAAAGTAAAAAAAAAATCCCCTATCAGATTACCATCCAGAAATAGGAAATTGCAGATTACAGAGCAATAGCAACCTCTTGGCAAAGTTAAGCCTTATCAGACACGCAGAAGATTGCAGTGCAGTATGGAAGCAGTAAGCATCCTGCATTTTTCAGTCTTAAGAAAATAAAATAAAAAAAGAGCATTCGCTTTCCACTGGCACTATGAGCTCAAATAAATGGCATGTTATTCTGATAAGATCTTACAATAAGAGATTTCAGTTTGTTGGGACGACTTACTTTTGGTACTACTAAACAAATGGGAATAACAGCTGACATTACTGTTAAAAGTATCTTGTCTTTCCTTCTCGCTATCAATTTGCTCTTTGATTTTAAATTAATAGCTTAAGCTTCTAAAGAAATTCATTAAAACTATGACACTTCATGCTATTAACTGCTCCAAACAGGTAGAGTGCATCTTCTCACAATTACATCCCAAATGGGAGCACAGCCTTCGTGAAGCTGAAGGGTTTTCAGGAAATGACTTCCTAATGGATATAATTAGTGGCCAAATGTCAATGATTACGCTACTCAGCTGCCCATTTTTATTCATAAAAGCAAACTATGCAGCTGGGATGAGCCAAACACTCTCCAGTGCACAGAACTGTGTAATCAGCAGTCACGGAAAGACAGAGATAAAATGTTGTTCTTGTCGATAGCGGCTGAGATTCTGATGGCAACCATCTGAGCAACACAGAACCATGAGAACCATGTCAGTGTATGGAACTAAAGTGTGTAGTGCTATTCATTGGAAGAGAGGTCTTTGAAGAACTTCTCCTTTGTACATCAGACAGATTTCTAAAATGAAGCAGCAGCAGTCATTTGGGATTCAGAAGATTTACCTTTGCTATTCATAGCTATAGCATATGCTCCTTGACTTCTCAATAGCATTTTAAATCTGTTTCTCCTCCTTCTTTCCTCACATCGCTGAATTGTTGTGCTCTTTTTCTTTTTTTTTCCTTTTCTTTTGACATCATTTTTTTAATAGTTGTGATATATTTTTTACAGTTTCACCTCCAAAATTTTCTTCAGTAGCAAGTAATATCCTAATACAGCTTTTACAGAAGGTATAAAGACACAAAAGAGGGATGCCAGGGAAGGGCTGTGCCTCTGCAGCCTTGAGCTGTGGAGAACTGCTGCTGTAGTGATCAGTGAGAAGTTTAAATAAGGGTATGATCTGACAGATCGCCGACCACAGAATGCCCATTTCCACTCAGTCATAATGGCCAAAAATAAAAATCAGTATTAATTTCTCAAGCCTAACAGTCAGGTAAATTGAACAAAATAAACTGCTGTACTCCAGTTAAATGCTTTATATATATTCATTATTTCAATCAAACACCTTTTGCAAGGGATATCAGGGGAATTCATAAAAGTTGGCAAAGATTTATCTCAAAACAGCCTTTACTGTTTCACTGATCTGTGCTCTCATCTTAAGCTGTTCAACCACAATTTTTCTCTGCCAAAACGAATTTTCTTCAGCATCCATAGGAATATACCTAGACATATAACATTACAGTTGGTTCCAGATACTGATGCTATAGGAATTTGGGAAGCAGACATGAACCTTCTTTAAGACATTAATTCGCCAGAGAAAGCAACTTGTTTCAGATGAGGGAAAATATCATATTTTTGTTTTTTAAAACAATTGTGTATAGCCAAGAGCACTGTATGTACAATACAGATGTGCTATAAAAGATAGCAGCACTGCGTACACAGCTGTAAGCATTCAAGATGTACACAAGTTCAGGTGCTACTGATGCAGGAAAGCTGATGATTCCATACACTTAATCATATTTATCTTTCTTTGACAAGCCAAACAAAGACAGATGCCGTAATACATTTTTATAGGCTTGTTCTGTTGAGATTCGTGTTTTACATTTCTAAGAACTCATGTTCATCTAACCAGAATTTAGAAAATCTGACCGAAGGAGATAATTTAAATTCACTTAATGCTTACCTACTTGCACGAATAGAACTTCAAAGGTTAATGTGAAAGTGTTTACAATAACATTGCAGACAGTGTTGCTAAGTGAATATTGTTCTGCAAAGATCATGATAGTAGAAAATCAGGGAAAAATATGGCACAAAAGCATGGATTTTTGTCCTGAGCAGGTACCTCTATGTTTCACTTAGAAGACTAATATTTAAGTTCAGAACTTCAGTTGATACATTTATTTTTATTTACCTCGTGTCATGGCATGTCTGTACTAATGAGGTCAGCAGTACAATTACATTGTCACAAGCAAGAATATTTGGAATATTTTTGTAATTAAAGGTAATAACTACAAAAACCTTTCTTAAAGTTCCCTTTCTGCTTTTTAATCTAACAGCCCTACAAAGAGAACAGCTGGTTTTAGTATCACGGAAAAATAACCTCAACCAAATTTAAACATACTGAAAAACACAGCTTTTTTAACTTGTAAGCTGAGTATTTATTTTATCCTCTACATATTCTGATGAGATGAGGATGCTGTTTCTGTCAGTAATAAGCTGCTTCTTTTTACTGTTTTAAAAATCAATATGACAATTTTGAAATAATTCAGTAATAATATAATGACACATCACTATAGATAACAAGCATTTGTATTCTTATATTTTGAAACAAGGTAAACGATAATTTGAAATCATACCCATTGATTTCATGAAGACAGTAAGAAACTGCATTTCAGTTGGATTGAGACATCTAAATGAACTGTTTTTGTTTCACTGAAACACTCTGTGATGCTGAATCGCTTGGACATTTTTTTTCAATCCACCTCTACTTCAAATACATAAATATTTGAGAGAACACTCTCTGCCCAGCCTTAAATGCTGAGCCATGTGTTTCTCTATTCCCTTAGCAATAGTAAAAACAGAAATGTAAAAGAAAAATGATCTTTTTGCTGGGTGGGACTGCACTGTGCTACAGAAGAAAAAAAAATTTCCCTCCAGCAGCCCCATGTCATTAAAAATTAAACATAAAAAAAGTTTATTTTGTGATGTGTGTTTTTACCCTAAAGCAGCTAGAATATATCAAAGAAAAGAAAATCCTCTTGATCCCTCAAGTGTCTGAGAAAAATATAACATTTTAACAAGAAGCTCAAAACTAGAGAACATTTAAATAGTTTCTTGTAACTTTTAATGGCCCTTAGAGTATTACCATCCAAAAAATTCCATCATGATTTCCATAGGCTTGTTCTCAAACACTGTTAGATATCTAATTGGTCTATTATTTGACTTTGTCATACCTTAGCAACATTAATTGTATTTGTTGTATTCAGCAGTAGTAAATATATTTTGGATTGTCAAAGTACATATGCTATAGAATATCAGTAATTTGTTGCTTATTTTTCTTCAGCTTTCATTGATTTCTTTTTCCCTGGCAAAGGTTCTGTTTTCCTCTTAAGGGAAAATCCTGCATGATTCAAATGAGTACTTCCAGGGTACTTTTTTAATCAACTCAATGAAGCATAAATTGCTGTATGCTTCTGGAACAAATAAAACTATAATAGGCTTTACAAGTCATGCCCTACAAGATCTGTAAGACAGTACATCGTATGCAGGAGGGCAGCTAACTTTGTGCTGTTTGAATTCTGAGATGCAGAACTAGTAATAATGCTGTCCAAACCAACCATCTCCAAACTTTTGATTGTGAACGACTATCAGTAAAAATTTGAGCAAACACCCCCAAAATATGCACTCATATTTCTATACTAATATAGAAAATTTTTAATTACATTAAAAAATAACACAAAATATAAATTGAAAAGGGTAAGATAGAGATGAAATAAAATTTATTTCAAAAATGAGATTTTATTTATAACTGATAAATATTTTCTTACTGCATCCCAGTGGACTGTCTTGCACCCCACTTTGGAGACCCACTGGTCTCAATAGTGTGTCAAGAGGGTGAGTAACAGCAGTCTGTTTCCAGATGCCTCATCTTGTGTGCTATGCCACAGCTCACACTGATCCTGGTACTTCTGAATGAACTGTGCTTCTTGAGTTCTTCACGTACACTAGTCCCAACCTCAAACCCCAACTGATCCAATCTTCAAATTCTCCAGGGAACATTTGCTCTGAAGTCATTCAGGCATTTTAAAAAACTACATCCAGATCAAGAATTTCTGTAATCAGTCACATAAGGAGTCATTTCAAGACAACTTTGGCGTACCAAAAGGAGAGAGCCAGAAATGATTTTCTACCTCAATCTGAATTCTTTAAGCAGTCAAGGCAGCTGAAAAAACTTTTTATGTCGATGCTATTCCTGATCAGAAATTTTCTGACTTATTAAGCTTGTGATTGTGAGATTAAAGGTCAAGAGAATAAAATGTCAAGCCAGCACTAAATGTGAGATTTGAAAAAGGTTTTGTAAAGAATGCTGCAAATAAATTCCCCTTTTAAAGGAGCATCCGTCTGCAAATGGCATGGTGAGACAGCATGGTTTCTATGGTACAGTTTTTACAGGACAAAAACTGATTCTAAAATCACAAATGGAATTTTAAAGGAAGCGTATGCAGAGCACACAGTTAGGGAGCCTACAGGAAAATGGAACTGCCTTGAAATAGATATAACACTCAGTTTATGCCTAGTTACATGAATTCTGAAAACTAATATTGTAATAAGAAAATTATTATTGTAATAAGAAAAATTACTCATTTTTCAACAATATTTTTCTAGCCAGCAAAAACACATTTTCCCTCCCAGAGCCTTATTCCAGTCCAATTAAAAATTCCCAGGGCAAATAAGGGAATACTTCTACTTAGGCTTACTGGTATTTCTGCTATTCCTGCCAATGAATTTCTTTTTATTTTCCTTTTGAAAGCCGAGGTAGAATGCAAGCATAAAGGACTTATTTACAAGAAAGTTTCCTTGCATTGTGAATACAGCAGTGATTTGTAATTTAAGATAGCTCAGATGCAGTTTAACAGTAATATTTTTACAATGCAAAAGATGTATTGAGCCTTCTCCAGTAACTTTGCCGTTACTTCACATACACGCTCACCTATGAAGGTGGTCTCACTCACCTTTGACCAAAGTATGTTTGTCTGTGGGAGATGACCGAGCAAGTACTCGAAGCTTTGGCCAGATTTTGTCAATCCGCTCTTGCTCAATCTGGAAAACAGTAACAAAAACAACAGCATAACTGTTAGACTGTAGTGAGAAAAATGCAAAATATACTTGTGTCCAAGCAGCAGAGGATTCATTTCACTAAGATTTGTATCCGTTTTCCAAAAGCACAGAAAAATTACAGCAGACATCAATGGCAGCAAGACCAAAAAAGTCATTTTTTGTACTACTGAAAGTGTTTCATTGGTTAACACAGGTCAATTTTGCAACTGTATTTTATCTGCCTTTCTTATGCTCTTCACACATAGCCCCATTCAGAAGTGTGACTTGCTGTAGCCTGTACAGTTTCTCAAGGCTGATCAAACAGCTTACAACTTAAAATATGTTGCTTTATTCTGCATTATAATCCAAGTTCTTCATTTTGTCATCAATAATGGCAGAATTTTCTCTGTATACCTACAGCAGCAACTAAAACAAACCTGCAGCAATCCTCATGCTCGCAGGATTCCTTCAGTCAATGTAAGGAGTAAATGCCTGTGCTTACAATGGACTCTAAGACACAGCATAGAATTCACCTTTTTTAAGCTGGCTTCAATAATCTGTGTCTTTTATATGTGGAATTAAAAATGTGAAGAACAGCCTAAATTATTCAAGTTGTTAGAATGAGTGAATGCAGTAGTAGATGGATTACATGAAGTGTTATAAAGTGAAAGTATCTGGTTCTCAGCATTTTCATGAGACTTAAACCTGTAGAGTTGACTTCTTTCTCCTCTTATCTAACAAACCTGTTTTTCCTGTGCTTAGTTTTGAGTTTCTTGAAGGCTAGTGCTATGGTTCTAAAAAATGCTGAATAAGTCTAGCACAAAGCTTGCAGTGTTTCTGCATTCTAAAAAGGAAAAGTGGCTTTTCAGAAGTATTTTAAATTGCAAAAGAATACTGTTAGAAAGAAATACCAGTCTCTCCAAGTAATCTTTACTGAAGGAATGTACACGTCAGCATAGGAGAAGCAGCATTTCAGTATTCTCGCTATTTTTATGGCACATTCTTAATACGTATGGATTTAGCACATGAATTACCTCTCCCTTCTCATTTCGGATCCTCCTGTTAAACTCTTTCCCTTCAAGGCAAAGAAAGTCTTCTCCTGGATGAATGATTCCACATTTTATGGCAATGGCACGTGCTGTGTTGATATTGTCTCCAGTGACCATGCGGACCGTAATTCCAGCTCGCTGGCACTTTCTTATGGCTTCTGGGACCTACAGAAGCAATGTAACAGGGAAAGAAAATTTCCAGATATGAGACAGAAATACAAGCCAGATATTCCCAATCAGGTCAGTTTTCAGATCAGTTGCCTAAAGATTCTCTTGACCTTAATACAAACAGGAGTATTCTGTATCTTTTTTCTCTTTTTTTTTGTTTTTAGCACTGAGGTGCAGCGTGCTGAACCTAAAATGTTCAATATACATGAAAACGTACTGAGAATTCAGTTATTTTGTACAGAAAAATAGTATAACTTTAATTTACCTTCTGATCCAAATTTTCCTTTCAGTAAGATCAAGTTTTTATAACAGCATTGCTACTCAAATTTATGCATATCAAGAGGTGGAATTTCCAAATATAAATGACTTCAGTGTTTCATGAATCATTTATTTCCAAAATTTAAAAACAAAGGATGATTTCACTTAGCTTGCTTTCTTCATGAAACTAACTTTTACTGTTGCACAGTACGCATATCAATGAGAGAGAATTCAGTGTGTAACAGGGTACATGAGATGAACATAAAATCTAGGCACTTACTTGATATCAATTTATTTAAAAATAAAAAGGTTTTTTTTAAATAGGAATATGCAATGAAAATAATTTTCATTTTAAAACAATAATAATCAACAATTTTTAAAAACCAAACAAACCAATTCAGTTTAAGAAGTGGCATCAAAATGGATATTACTGACTACAGTAGCAACGTTTTCCTCTAGTTAGCAGTCAGTTTAGTGCTGCAGAACTTGTCGCTAATTAGATTGGGTTGACCTCAGCCATTACTACAGAAACTATCAAGAAAACGAGCCACCATTTACAACATTGCACTGCTAATGTTGTGCCTTGCGAGTCATTTTAAGTTCCCCTATATTTACAATGGACACTGCTGGGCGCAGAGCATTGCCTTTGATTGACAACCAGCATTCTTATCCAACGTGACAAATACTCTACTTCTGATGCGTTCATGGAGCCAGAAAGGCTATACATTTTGGACTGAATGTCACACTAGACATAAATATTACACACCCTTAAAGCATATGGTAGATAATGATTATTCTAATCAGCGAGTACAATTTCACACCATGTTTCTGCATCTTCATTAAAATACTTTTTCTACAGGAAAAAATAATGCTATTCACTTGAATAATGATACTAGAAATGTCTCCAACACTTCTAAATCAACTCAGCCAGATGCACATATACAGGAAATAATGGCTCATCTGGTCAGTTGTGTTTTTTCCTCTTTAATAAACAAGAGGCAGTTAAGGCATCTGTTTTCCGAACTGCCTGACTGAACACCTAGTTGAGCAACAGACCAGTACTTTTCTCACTACTGTGAAGAAAACTGCTGCACCCACAAAAATGTGCTGTTGGCGGAATGACTTTCAACACAGATGACAGAAGCAAGAGAAAAATCAAGGGTCAGAGGTTTATCTTCCCATTCCCTCATCTCTATTAACTGCAAATATTCTTCCCAACAGCTGCATCCTGGAAACATTATTTGGACCACCTGAAGCCTCTTTACATTATGACAGAGAATTCTGTGAGACACATACAACCAGCTCAAAGTCATTACTTAAGCAAATGACTTCTGATTTACTCAGTTTCTACAATAACAATAATCTTGACTATATCCCATATGCCAAAGTTGGAGCGCCCTTAATATCCACTTAACTGTGGTGACCCTCATGCATAGGGTTATGCCAGATTTAGATGACTGCCTCTAAATCCAGTATAGTATATGAACCATGAAGGAGAAAAATAAATTACAGTACAAACAGAAAAATAGAAATATTCACATAAAGCGCCAGTCCCATTAACCAAGGTCATGGGAGGACAACCTACTTTTAAATACACCTCAAACTCACATATAGCTAGGGAAATAATTCTAGCTCCCACTTCTCTCATTTTTGGACAGCTGGTGGGTGGTATCTGACTTACACTGTGTACAGTAATTATGCCTAAAATATTGTTCATATTTTTTAATGCTGTAGGGAAGAAAGAGTCGTGGCAGACTGAGTGGGCAGTGGAAGCAGATATTTTCCATCCGTATGCAGAATTTAGGTACATACTTCAAATGTTTAAATTTTCTTTCTACAAAGAAAACCTTTCAACATGTGCATGCAGAGGTTATCCAGTGAACAAATACCTACCAAAATCAGGTGACAAATATGTGAAAATTTAGAAGTGATTTATATTCAGTGCCTAGAAATAACAGATTGGAGCTGTACCTTGGCAAATTGGTATAAAGCCGTGCAGACTCATTAAAGCCAATAAAGAAAGGCTGACAAAATAAACAGACATATCTCTGTAGGCACAAGACATCAGTCTGTTGTTTCTTTTGTTGTAGATTTATCAAAGGAAAAAAAATGGAAAAAAAAAAAAGGTAAATATTAAGTGGTTGATAAAAGTTGCTGCTAACAATGAATAAGCTAGAGCCTGAATTTCATCAACCTAAGTAACCAAAGTATGCAAAATTCATGGGTGTCCAGTGGTTACATTCCAGTTAAAGCTTGTCAGTTGCTGGATACCATTGTTGAATAATTCATCATCTTGTAATGCATGGAAGGAAATGCAATGGCAAGAAAGACCCTGCACTATAATCAGAACAGATGCAGTACTCTTACCTCATGCTAGCATGGCAACACTGACACTGCAGGTATGCCAAGTACGTGAATATTTGAACACACCAACAGTGCATATGGGCAAAAAATTTTAAGTAAAAAAAAAATAAAAAAAATCAAACCTTCCTTAGTAAAAACATCAGTGCAGAAGGGACAGTAAAGATTTTCAGGATGGTGACACTGGGTTGTTTATTGGAATTATTTAATCTGCCATTTCTGACAGAATAAATCCGGATATCCATGAATACTGAGAATATCAATAAAACAGAAATAATAATAATAGTTCTCGTTTTTATGCTTTTTCTCCTGCAGAAAACACTTTGATTATTTATAAACTCCAATGGTGTTTCTGTTTAATAGGTGGAATTAATCCTGGTAAAATAATACAGTCATTTATTACAGCTTGATATCTTACTATTTGCAGCTACAGTGGCAATTTGAGTGATACGTAATTCCCAAGTAAGATGTATCATACAAAGACAATTTTCTGAAATTCATGTTGTTATTCTGTCTTGGAGTTTTTTGGATCGTGAACATCATAAAACAGTTGAAAGGGATATGGAGAAAAATTCCCACCAAACAAAGTCTCAGAAAAAAGAACTACAGGTTTGTCCAACATATGGTAAAATCTGAAATTATAAACATTTATCATGTTTCTTGCAGTGAAAAAAAAAGTCACTACAAATTTTTTATGTTAATTACAAGAAAATCAATACATCAGTTAGATAAATTTTTGAAATAAAGTGCTTTGATCCCTTCATCTTCTTTGATCCTTTAAATAGACTTTAGACTTGACCTCTTTGTTTGTATGAACACTATTCATGTTTTATTCATCTTTAAGAAATTATTGCCTATGAAATGAGAGCATAAAACATGCTCACCGTAACGATGTGATAGTATGCAGCTATTTTAAAAATTAACTGCAAATCCTATTGCTGCCCATTTCCTCAGTCTTATACATAATCCGACTTAAAGCTATTTTTGAACAATGTGTATCGTTAATCAGTTTTGGAGGTGAAGAGAAATGGTTCATGGTTCCATTGGTCACTGACAGTTTACATACTTCCTGAGTTTATCTGTATACCAGTTAGAGCATTAGGAGTGGGATCCATGCAGACAGAATATTTTAATATTATTTTAAAATATTTTTCAGGATGCGATGTGAAGTGTAGGAACAGATGGATTAGCAGCAAGACACCATCTGATGACACAAAGTGAATGCTGTGTATCCAATGACTGCAGAGGTAAAGGTTTTATCATTGTTTTCACTCAACCAAAACTTACTGGATATGATTACATTTCTCGATACTGAAAAAAAGTCAAACATACCATTATCATTCAAAGTGCAGTTATGCAATTGGTGCCTGTAGGTGTAATTATATCATGCTAGTTTCCTTCATTTATTTTCCAAAGTTACAGCAGTCAAAAGTGTATAAAGGACTAATTTAAAACAGACTCAGGGAAATAATTTTCCTTGCATGTCTAACATTGCCACCATTTCTCAGTGGATCAAACACAAAGATTTAAACATTATTTAAAAAAAAAAAAAAGAATAACATGACAGTAAAAAAGACCAATGTTGGAACCAAGGTACTTTATACAGAATCAGAACATACTCTTTTTGTATAGGGAAATTTCAGTTATCATTTGGTGACCCTATTCCAGAGCAAACCCACAGTCATTAATCATCTACTGCAATAACTGCACCATCAAAGAATTAATTTCCTGAAGCAAAATGGGAGAACATTTAATCACACCCTCTCATCTGCAGTGGGTCTTGGGACTGGTGCTCTCAAATCACATCGTGCAGCTGTATGCTATGGCCATATGCTTATGGTTGAGTCAGTAAGTAAAACATCAAAAGAAGATACTGCAAATGCTGGCATTTTACTCTCTATGTTTTAAATTTTGGGGTATACCCTCAATAGGTCAGTTTCTACACTGTAAAATTGAACTGATTTTCTACAGTCAGGATTAACTATCAAGGACCATATATATTGGTCACAAACAATGTTTCAATCTCCATTTGCCTTTTGTATTACTGTAGTAATATAATTCACAAGTGTAGTAGCAGGACAAGCCTCATTAAAGACAGATATGGAATAATATGGCAACTTCTTCCATTGTGCACATACTGATCTTCTCAGTTTACTTGAATTCTAAGCTTTTGGCCCATTTTTAAAGCCATTGAAGAACAGCATCCACGAAATCTACAACATATCCAAGGTAAAGCTTTTCCTTGTCCAAAGGTGATATTTACAAGTTCTCCTGAATAACCACAAGTTACATTCTCAGGTCAGTTTGTAAAGTAGCACATTTTAGTAAAATACAGATCTCCAAGACTACATGTGTTAGCTGTGGAAGATATGACATAATTACAGTCATGGCAATTATAGTTACTATTCCTGGTTTTTTCTACTTGCACCTCACCACGTTGAGAACACAATAAAACTTCTGCTGACAATTCTCCAGCATACTCCTCCATGAGAGAAATTTAAATCATTTAAATCCTTTAGCTCACAAAGACCTATACTGCTAAATTTAAATGAACTTTTATCAAATTGATTATTTTTCTTAGTCAACTAAAGCTTGTTTTTAAAGTTCACTACCATCTTTGTTACAGCTACATAAAATAAGAAAAAAAGATGAAAACCACAAGAAATCTAGAAATCAGTTCACGTTTCATTCTCTAAGAACTACTCTATAACATAAGAATTTAATTTACCTCTGGTCTTACTGGATCTTCAATGCCAACAACACAAATGCAAGTCAGATCAGATAAAATGTCATTTTCATTGTCCCAGTCAGGTTCTGGGCTGCTGTTGAAGTCTCGGAAAGCAACACAGATAGTTCTCAATCCATCACAGGCCATTGGTTCAATCACTTTCTTCACCATTTCATCCCGGTCACGTGGTCTGAAGATACGAGGTTCACCAGCTGCATTAAGGATCCTGGAACACCTATTTTATTTCAGTAAAAAACCAAAGTGTGATTGTATGTTATATGACTGCTGAAAAGTATTTCCATGTATCAGCTCTTTTCCTTCAACATCTTCCTTTTTGTGCAAATTTCTAGATTAAACAAAAAGATTCACTACTGAAATATTGTAACTTCTTACGGAGACTCTCAGACCCTTTCATCCATTACTTCCCAAAAAGCCCATGCAATTAGTGAGCTTAGAACTTGCAAAGAAATTTAAACGTCCTTATTTTCCAAATGTGTTTATGAACTGAAAGAAACTATTCGTAGATGACTGAATATAGATGAAAAATACATTAAAAAAATCCAAATTTTATGTTTAGCCAATGATAAGAAAGATATGTCAAACAATTTTTGCAAGTGGGAGGTGGGGATTGAGGATATCAGTAACAGCTTTGTACTGAATCGTGTCATTTTTTCTACTGTGATTAGCATATTCCAAATACCAGAATTGCCAGGAATATCTTATTAGCATTAGAAAGTTTTGCATCATTAAGATTTTGGAAAAACACAACAAGAAATCCACTGAACTTACTTCTTCAGAACAATTTCAGAAGCTCCTTTGCTGTACATTCGGAAACTACCATCTGGCATCTTGATGACAGTACTCATTGACTTTCTCACAGAGTTGAATGTGTAAACTTTATAAAGTTTCTCCTCAGGGATGAGGTTCCGAACAGGCTCATAATCCTGCTTCAAATCCAGAACAAAGCCCAAGAGTCCGCATTCCGTCTTATTGCCTACCTGCCGAGGCAGGCCACCCTCCTTTTCTGGTGGCTGAAAGAAGAAAAAATTAGATATTAATTTCTATAATTTAGCTGCACACAACATTTCTGCCCAATTAATAACAAAGTTACAGTCTGCAATTTAAAATCTGAGTTTTAAATATGCAGTCACGTCCCTTCCCATTTTTAAAAACTACCAAATACATTCAGTCAGCCATGGACAGTTGAAGAGTTTCTGACTGCATATCATTAAAAATGTAATTACTTGCATAATTGATTTTTATTTACTGCAAACAGAATATTTGCTATTCTCATTTGAACTGAATTGTTTTGAAGATTTTTGTTGGTTTTAATGGTGAATTACAGAAAGATAGCCTTTTCTTCTAGCAGCCAGTTCTTAATAAAAAGTAAATCTCCATCTAATTATAATAGTAAATCTCCATGAAAATGGCATTTCCAATAACCTACTGAACAATAATTCTACTTCTGGAAGCACCTGTTTCAGACAGAAAATGCTTCATATGTTAAAAAAAAAAAAAGTAGTAGGTTAATCATTTTGTAACTCTTCGTGTTTCTCAGTACTTACAAGTATGAGGAAGGCTGTACTGTCTCATTAAACAAGCATATTTGACATAGAACTTTCTTGGAGGGGGGGGAATATTCCCAGATAAAAAGTTCCTGTGTTATCAAGATTCCAGATAGACTTCAGGAACTCACGTAAGCTCTAGACTGCTGGTAACTTAAATTTTCCTCTACTCAGTAGAATTAGAAAAGTGTTTACTTAAGCTTTGAGACCCAAAAGAAGAAAAAGTTCTTTCACAATTTTAATTTGCAAAGTATCACACCATTGAAAACATTTGCATTTGATAAGCCTAAGCCATCAGTTTCTGTGTGACTTAAACATTTCCCTCACATTTTGCAGAATCAGAGATGAACGACTATATTCAGAATTACGTCCCTGTTCTCACCATAGACTTTTAAATCCAGTCTACTTGTGAAATATCTGTGGGATGGAGGATAACATAGGGAATGATAAACTCAAATTGCATATCTGTGAACCTACAGAGATTTAAATTCTTGCAACAAATGCTGCCATAATGAGCGGAAAGGGGAACTTTAGGGAATTACTAGTAAATATCCCAGAGAAACACTTTTTGCAGCTATTTTGAAGAAAATGAATGACTGATAGATAATAACAGACCAGTATGGGGAGAAAAAAACAAAAAACAAAAAAACTTGACCACATTTACATAAGAACTACATTTCTATCACCAGACAAGATGTATATACTTGGTGACAGATTAATATGATTCCTTAACAGAGAGAGATGTTTCTAAGGTGAACAATACAGAATAATAATAATAAAAAATCTGTTCCAGAAAAATTTATCCTTTCAGAAACAATTGTAACATTGCTAGATTCAGTATGAACCATGACTCCATGTGGGTCAGATCTGTATTACTATGACACTTCAGCATTACGCTCCGTTGTCAAAGTAAAGCACACCTAAAAATATGCTAATATGGTACATTAGCTTTATTACATACTATGAAAGCATACCCTGCTACAATCCCATTACAGTGTGATGCAACTGCCCTTTGGATTCTCAAATTCACTTACGAATCCTTGCCTTAAGTCCCAATAACATACAGTTACATGCATTTCAAAGGTTTGTTGAATTCAGCGGACAGAAAAATTTCAGGTAGGAATCAACAAATTACTCTTCAAAATGCTGGTTCATTTGAATAAAAAAGGTTAGTTTTCACACCATTGCAGGCACAGAGTTCTCAGAACCTGCTAAGAACTTCAGGTTATTCAAAATAGTGGATTTAATCAACTTCACTGCGTGGGTAGCAGTGCTAGGGAGGGCTGATTTCTCTGCATACATTCTATCAAACTAATTCCATTTTAGCTTTAAATCCCTATTAATGTTATTAATTTTCTCTCAACACTGACATACCAAGCTAGTAGGAGATCCACACTGGAAACCAGTTAAATACATACAGATTTCTTTCCAACACAAACCTAGAATCCTAGAAAATAGTTAATTTATACATATGATTTTATCATAAGTAGCTGTAAATGGATACTGAGAAAATAAAAGTCTACCTACATTTCACAGTATGTAAACTACAGTCCTTCTAAAATTTGTTTTTGTTTTATCATGTAGTAGATCACACTTCCCTCAATTCACAATGGTCTAAAAATAGACTTTTAGTGATCATCTTTTGAATGCTAATACGTAAGCATGGGGAAAAAATACCAGTGAAAAGAAAATGAACAGACATTTCAGAAAGGTTTCAAAATCTGCTAACAAGTGGCCACCTCCCTCTAGAGCAGCTGCTGTCTCTGTACTCTTTGTACATTACATTAAAATAAAGCATATGGTGATGAGAGCTGGCAAGTAGCACTTCCTTCCCTGTACTGTTTCAGCTGAAAATCTATATGCCAAAACTAGTTTCCTTGAAGACTATTCTTGATAATCCTTTGCAGAAGCTGCAAGCTGTTAAAACTTTGAACTGTGGTAAATCTAAATGTGTTGTTTGCTGAAACCTGCAGTTCATGGCACCTGGAACACAATTTAAAAGACTGCACAAAGTAGTTACTTTTGAATAATTAACTAGGAATCACTTCATTAACTCAGAGAATAAAAATGCTTTTGTACCATATGAGAGAATGCCTCTGAAATGTGATTTGCAGAATAAAAACTTTTAAATGCATTGGTTTTCCTGAGCTCATTTCTACTGGGAAGACATTGATCTGATGCTCCAATAAATAGTTCCCACTAACCACCATATAATTTTAAATGCTTCTTCCAAGTCTTTACATCATTTACATAAGAATAGTATTTCACATTTAAGAACATACTTTCATGTAAAACAAACTGCAGGCAGATGTTAAAAAAAGTTGTTACAACAATCCAATCAAAGCAGGTCTCTGGGTCAAAATATACCAACCCCAACAGTTACTATTGATTTACTATTGAATTTGGATTTGAAAAGAAATTTTCAAAATTGCTTCAATAGAAAAATACCAGTTAAAATGGGTGAATAGAAAAAAAGAAAGATAAAATGGAGAGCATATCTGATAAAAAATATTCATCTTTTAAAAATATATTAAGAAATAAAAAGACTTTGTTTTTTTACCATAACACTTACTAAACTTCATTTTCTCAGTGCCATTTTTGATGTAAGAAGAGAGAAACTGGCAAGTAGATTCACCTAGTCTTTCAAAATGAAAGTATTAGGGTTTCATACATTATATGAAGTCTTCATTTTATTTCAGGCTATGCTTTTCTGTCCTAGAGTAACGATGATCATAAATTTACCACTTCTGTGAAAATAATAAACTAACTTTGCTAGATTATGTCCTTACTGCATTGGACATGAATAGACATGAAATGTCCATTCACAACAGACAAGCAGAGAAAAATACATTTTTCAAATTAAATCATGAAAAATTTCAATTCTTTACTTTAACCAAAGAGTCACAGAATGAGGTTTCAAGGGAGCTCTAGAGGTCAACTTGTCCAACCTCCCTTCACAAGCAGGGCCACCTAGAGCCTCTTGCTCAACACCTCGTCCAGATGCCTTTAAATACCTCCAGTGAGGGAGAATCCACAACCCCCTTCAGTAACCTGTTTCAGTGGCCACCCTCACCATTAAAAAGATTTTCTGTTTTTCAGAGAAAACCTTCTGAGTTCCAGTTTGTGCCCATTGTCTCTTGTCCTGAACTGGGCATCACTGACAAGAGCCTGGGTCCATCTTCTTTGCATGCTCCCTTCAGAGATGGACAGACATTGAGTAAGATTCACCTGAGTGTCCTCCAGGCTCAGCTGAGAGGTCCCAGCTCTCTAAGCATTTCCTCATAAGAGAGATGCTCCTGTTCCTTCAGCATCTTTGGGACCCTTCACTAGACTCTCTTCAGTGGCAAAAACGTTTCTTGTACTGTGAAACCCAACAGTGGACAAAGTTCTCCAGCTGTCTCAGTGCTGAGCAGAGGGGAAAAAATCACCTCCTTCAGCCTGCTGGCAACACTTTGCCTAGAGTAACTCAGGACACCATTAGTTTTCTTTGCTGCAAGACTTCACACCTTCTGGGCAGATTACGTCTTCCATGTTAATTATCCACATGACTAGGACAATGCTTATTTAGCCAAGTGCAGACATTTTATTAGAACTCTTGAAAAACACTTCTATATAGAAAAACAAACATACAGCATCCTGAAGATAAAATTCACTACAAATCACTGTTTTCAGCTCTATACTATCAAAAAGCTATGAATTTGCTTAGAATGAAATAAAAAATATACTTAAAATAAAAATAGGTCTTTGTATCTTGTACAGATTCTGATCCTCTCTCCTCTTGGGGACAATTCCAGAATAAGATAACTAAGTGATGAGGAAGATCACAGTCTGTCCTCAGACTGTTTGGAATTTTAAGTGGCTTTTCACATGAACAAATAGTAAGTTGTCTCTTTAACACAGAGCACTGAAAATAACACATTAAATTATAGAGGATGCTTTCTGATAATATATTTGCCATTCATAATAATCACTGTAAGGGACAATCCTGTTGAAATTCAGTTAAAATAAAAAGTCAGTTTGAATTGAGGTCAGCATAAAGGGATTGAAAAAGAACTTTTAACTTCTTTGAGCTGCTTGCATAACTGTTTTGGCATCAGAAGTAACAGACTGAGTTAACCTTATGCACATTCCCATCTCGCTCACTGGATTTAAAGCCCAACATTTAAAACTTAAAAGCTTTTATTTTTTTGAATGGTTTAACTTAGACTAACATAAGTGTTTCCATTCATCTGTGTTCATCAGAAAATAAATTTTCTCTTGTATACCTTCAATGGAATTTTAAATGGTTATATGTTAAACCAACACAGATCTCTTCCTTTACTTCCTTTCAAACTCAAGCAGAGCATTTCAATTGCATCCAATTTCATCCACAACCATTAAGGATCCTGATTTTGATCGGTTTGCTCCAAAATACATCATTTTTTTGGTTCCATCATTTCAAAGCTTCTCATGGCACATACATTTGG